AAAGATCCTCTTGCTGACAAGTCGGAAATCGTCGAACATTGACTTAATTGCCTTGTTTTCTGTCTAAGGCCAACTACTTCTATTCTAGGCGAAACCATCACACATCACCTGAAGCTCTACAAGCAAGTTGAACCCGAGATGTTTGAGTTGTTTAGCAAGTCTCTGTACGTGGGTGATCTTCATACTGGTACAGATATTGACGAGAAAGCTTTAATGGTTCATCAGAATCGAAGAGAATGATAGTGAGTGGTGGTTTCAATCTCAGAAAATGGAATACGAATACTCGAAACTTGTTGAAAGCTTATTGAAGTCTACAACAACTCGCAAGTACACTTTACATAAGGCTGACTAACAACGCTACAGCAGACGATAACGAGTTGTATGCAAAATCGTCCATTACACCTGAAAATCTCACTTCCAGTTACAAAATGCTCTTTGAAATTGTCAGTGAAGATATTCGATCCGATTGGATTTCTCACCCCGTGTACTATGGAAACGAAGATTCTCTTCCAAGAACTCTGTCTTGAAAAAGTTGACTGGGACAGTGAATTAGACAAAAATCTACTCAAGACCTGGAATTCACTACTAGATGAATTGGAGTTTTTGGGCAATGTTAGAATACCCTGCTGTTAAATCCGATCAAGTCCAGTACAGTTCAAGCTCCATGGATTTAGCGATGCCTCAAGCCTCATATATGCAGGAGTTGATTACATCCGATCACTCTATGAAGATGGCCGAATTGATGTCCAATTAGCTGCCTCAAAGGCATGAGTCATACCATTGAAAAGGCAAACCATTCCACACCTGGAGCTGTTAGGTGCTCTTATTCTCTCTCAACTCATGAACAACCTCGATTTGGCCAAGAAGAATGGCAAGAACGCTTACTGGACAGATTCGATGACGACGTTATGCTGAATAAAAAATGAAAGGACGTGGAAGCAGTATGTATAGCATTGTGTGGAGGCAATTCGCAATTTACCATCATGGGACGACTGGTGAAACAGAACCTAGCCAGGGCAAACAGAACCCAGTTCCAGGTGTGGAATGGTTTGCCTTTTCAATGGTATGACTCTTGTCTTTGAGGCAACTAATGTGACATCAATTCGGCCATCTTCATAGAGTGATCGGATGTAAACAACTCCTGCATACACGTGGCTTGAGGCATCGCTGAGTGCATTTGAAATTTTGAAAAATGCTTCCACCAGGTGAAAAAGGGATCCCTCAGAACTTTCTAACTGAATTTACCCAGACGAAGCGGTCCAAGAGGGCTGCACACAGAGATCAATGGTGGCACAGTGGAGAACAGAGCTCCAACCTTAGATGGTATGGTGTCCACTGTCCTAAAATATGGTAAGATTTCTGACTTTACCAAATACTTCTGCTCATCTAGGAAAATGAAAAAGGCAGCACTTGTAGAAATAAAGAGGGAGGTACAAGAATATAAAAAGAGTGATGAAAAATTTCATTCGCTCACTTTCACTTCTCTATGCTGGGGGGATAATTAGAAAATGAAAATATGAGCAAGCAAGGTCTGCACTTGTTTTGAAGTACACTGGAAAGACCATGAAGAAAGGGAACTCTTCAAACGAACGGATTAAGTTTGGTTTCGGGCTACCTATTCCAAGGCCACTTACTTACAAAGAATTGACGTATTCACCCCTTGCAAAAAGAGAGGGACTGGGAATGAGTTTGCATGGGAGCCAGGTCCTAAAGGCCTCTCGCGGGCTTTTCCTAGTTTTTACATGGCAAAATGGCAACTTTAACAAAGCTTTCAGAGAAAGATATACCTGGAGCTTTGCTTTCTGGATGGAACCCTTCAACCCTCAAGACAGATGAGCTTTTGTTCTGGTTTAAATGTAGGGGTGACCCAACGAAAGACCTTAAAACCAAGGCACAAATGGTTGAAAGGTAGGAAGATTGCGTTCGTGTTGTTGTTGTTTTCAGATGGCTGTCAAACTGGTGCACGTGAAAATATTGCAGAAACCAAAGAAAGAAATTATTTTTATCGTGTTTATTACCAAGAAAACCATCAATTTAATCTCTTATTTTTTTATGCCTGACTCAATCCGTTCAATATGAGGAAATATTTCAATACTCAGTTTACAAAAATTACAATCGCCAAGATGTGATTTCCCATGTTTATCATAACTCTATAACTGGTCATATTGCCTGAGTGCAGTCCAAGGTAGTTTGCAACTGAATAATTTTTGAATATTATTGTACACTTAGGGTAAAAGAATATATTGATTTGGGAAAGGATAAAAAAATTATTGACCCTGACCCGTAGCATCTGTATACGAAACGCAAAAGAAGACTTGGTACTTAGCAAAAGGACTTTCACAAACAACACCTACGAACTAGACAAATATAAACTAATGCCTTTGTTCGCCAAAGGTGAAATGAACAGGCATATGGAGCAATCAGGTAAAAATTTGGGCGCATTTTCTGAAATTCGCTCGGCTCCAACAAGTCTTCGTAAAGCAAAGACATTTCTAGAAGATGAGTATTTAAAGGAAATTCAAGCTGCAAGCGATGACTATTGCTTCTACTTCAAAAGCCTGTGCTATCACAGTTTTAAGAAAAGTGAGCCTCCACATGAGCTCAGCTTTGTCCATAGTAACAGGGGAAGTTTTACATGCATCCTGTAGTTGTATTGCTGGCAAGATAGGCTCTTGTAACCATGTCCTAGGACTCTTGATAAAACTTTGCAACTTCTCCACATATGAATGCAAGGATATCAGGGAGCATAAAGATGGAAACATGACTCCTAGAGTGGAATGCACTTCTGCATCACAAATGTGGCACAGAACTGGTGGAGGAGACACAATCAGAACTCAGCTAGTCATGGAAGTGGTTGTTAAGAAATAAAAACTTGATATGGCACACTCATCTGAAGGATTGAAATGCTTGCTTTATGAATCTAGAAAGAAACGCAAATCTCAAGTCTCTGCAGAAACTCGTCTAAAGGAAGAACTATCAAAAATCAATCCTAAAATGGGTTTATGTGAAGTAGCTAATTCTGAATCCCCTTTTGGACCATATGCCAGCTACCAACTAACATTTATAGAGTCTAACCTTAAAGTTTACTGCAATATAGATGCTGTTCCTAGACTAAGTTGTGATGAGACTTTAATTGTTAACATGCCAGACAGCTAACCTAGATTTCCCCTGAAAGACACCACTGATTACATCCCTATGACAGATGGTCTGGATGATGCCCAGAAAGCTCTGCTTGATTATGTCATGGTTGATGAAGACAAGCTCAACTCTATTGAAAGGGGAACACGTGACCAAGCAACCTTGTAGGAGTGGAAGAATGAAAGAAAATATAGACTAACTGCTTCTAATTTCAAGACCATTTCTAATAGACAAAGGAATCATATTACACTTGTGAATAACTTACTAAACCCTAAGCAGGTCTCATCCAAGTATACTGAACATGGCTAGAAGTAAGAGTCAGTGGCTTTGCAGCGTTATGAAAAGTATATGTTCTCAACCAGAAGAAAAGTTGTAGTACTTCAATCAGGATTGGTGGTTTGCAGAGAAATGCTATTTTTTTGGGTGCATCTCCTGATGCAAGGGTAATAGACAAAGGCTGCATAAAGCCTTTTGGTATTGCAGAGGTGAAATGCCTCCTCACAAAATTCCATGTGACCCCACTTGATGCATGTGCAGATCAAGGATTTTGTGCAGAGAGAGCAGATGACGTGCCAAAACTTAAAAGAGATCACCCATATTATTATCAAGTTTAGGGACAGCTTGCAGTGACAAGAGGAAGCTGGTGTGATTTTATTATTTATAAAAGTGCTGGACTATGCATTGAGCGAATTGAATTTGCTCATAAATTTTGGGATACATTATCACACAAACTGAAATCGTATTACTTTGAACACTACATCGGTCCTACTTCAGTTCAATTTTCATCAATTAGGCAAGATTAGATAAGCTATTTGAACTAAGTTCATCATTTTCATTTTTATCGTCATTTATCTACATAACTTAACCAGCTTAGAGTGAAGTAAAAGTAAAATGCCCATAGAGCAGGTTTTTTCAATCCCTGCCAGTGGACCCTTATGCAGTATACACACTACACCATCTTACAGTTATGATATCTTAGAGAGAATGACTATTAACTCAGTACTTGTTCATAACAAAAAACAAGGGAAATGGTGGCCTTAGCCTACTACTACTACTACTACTACCTAGTAGCTTGTCAATGTTTTCACAGGCTAAATAACATCACCAACTCAAAATATATAGAGTAAGAGTAAGTAAGATGAATATTTTAAAATACAAATACTAAAAGCATGAAACAACTAAACTAATTAAATAGTGCTAAATAGCACTAAATCATTGAATGTCTATTGACTTCTATTGTTTCATTAGTGCTATTTAGTTCGAATAGACCTTTTTACCTTCATTGTTTGTTGTGCCCATTTCAGACCATATGATGGTACTCTTGGGAGTTGATTCTTTCTCATGAAAATGACGTGATCTGAAGTGGGCAATTAGCATATGAAGGTAAAGAGGTCTATTAGTTTTATTCATGTAGTACTGTTTCACTGTTATAGTGTTTGCACTATATCATCATGAATAATACATTAAGAAACCTTTAATTTTTCTAAAACACTCTTTTCATCTTGTTTTCTATGAATTTGACTATGCAGGTGATATGGAAAGGTAAATGTAGCAATATACATTCTTACAAAAAGGAATACCTGCCATGCTTAATAAATTGCCAAGTCAATCATTGTTAAGTATTTTTATAGAATAATTTTATAAATTGTTAAAGAAATTATTCGGCGAGATTCATTTCCTCCGTCAGAAATGATAGGGCCCTGCACATTACATAGAAATGCACAGATACACCACATCTGGTTCACCACACCAAACAAACTTAATGGCACAACAGCACCCCAAACGTGAAAATTTTTTACCTTATTAATGGCCCGTTCGGCATGAATGCGCATACTGGCAATCTGTTGTGTTTCCACTACTTCCTCTGGAGACATCTGAGAGTCTCCTCTCAGGAATGGAGGAATATTAAGGGAAACTCCCAAAGGCGATATGTCCTCGATTGTAAAGCCCTTGTCTTCCATAACAGAGTCACTCCTGGTGACAGGTTCTCTGTCTGAGATATTTCCTGTGTAAAGTTGGCTAATGAATGTCACAGCTCCACTTGGTGTGATGCCTACTAGGCCTTTAAGGGTTACATGGTTCTTATATGAACTAAAAAGTTCACTGTTGAAAAGTAGACTGCTAGGCGTCTGGCACCTAACTTCTGTGCAATCGATAATTACATGAGTACCTTTTTTATTTCTGGCGGAAGCTCTCTGGCATGCATTCATCAACCTTTTCTCTTGAAGACCAAATACAGATCTGACCAGATTTTAAGTAAAGTTAATCCGAGGGATCAGGATTCTACTCACAGTTGATTGAGAGATACCATACAAATGGCCTAAATGTTTCTCTCCAAAGCCTAGTCTTAGTCTATGTAGAACAAGAAAAAATTCCTCAATTGCCTTCGTGCTCGAGGTCTTCCCTGTAGGCGACGATTTTCCTCTGGCTCATCTTCACTGTATGTAGTTTCACTGCTTTCCCTAGCACATTGTAGAAATTATCCGGCACACTTCTATCCCGGGTCGAAGTGGTACAGCCTATTGTTTTGATCAACTATCAAATTCTTAGACTTCCAGGAGTTTCTTAGAATTCCAGGAAAAAAACAAAAAACCTTCCAATGAAAGTAAATGTCACAAAAATTCATAATTATTCATCATTAACTAATACTCTTAAGTGTAAATATGTTAATAAAATCATGTACATATCTGAGACTTACGTATTATAATTATGTATTATACTTGAAACATGCAAATCGGTTGGTTATTTCATAGTAACCCAGCTCTTAGTTATCGTGTCAGTAAAAACAATATTGCTTGATTTTATAGAGGTAAATTTCAAGGTGTTATATTGTGGGGTTATATCTTTTTTATATATTATAGATAAGATACATTATGAACTATTGAGACTCAAATCATTAAAGGAAAAATGGCTAAGCAATTCCAAGTGTCACTGACATGTGTCTTCTATTCAGTGTTGAATGATCCCGTGACAGTTCCAATATCCATAGTGAAATTTTGCCCTCAAAATCTCTTCTTTAGCATTGTAGACCATTGTTCCCTTCTTCTCATCATTGATGATAAGCTTAGCTTCTCCTTTTCCTTCACCAAGCCACTTCTTGAACCCACCACAATCTTCGAATTGGTTGAACAGGAGACATAATCTTCTAAGGCTTGAAAATTGTATGACCTCTGACCCCGGTTTCTCTTTAACTTCCAACTCATATCTTATTCTACCAAGAATCTCCTTATGCAAGAGATTAAAAAGACCTCTTGTGGCATGGGAAGGTCAAAGAAAACCATCCACTGATGCAATTTGCTCATCTTTGAACTTAGACAGTAATTTATTGCAGTCTTTGCGCGAATCACGCTTCGTTGAAGCATGGGATATAGCTCACCGTTGCTGTATTTGGGTCTTTCACAAAGACTTCCAAACTTTGAATCCTTTAGTTTATATGCATCTGAAATTCACCGCTCAAATTTTGATTTCTCTCACTTCAGTGCTTTTTTTATTGAAATAATTAATTCACCTTCGGTGGCCTCACATTGATCTGCCATCTTAGATTTTGCATTACTAGACCTCAGATCTTCCGTTGCCAAAATGAAAGTTGGCCAAATTTCGAGCCATAATTTCAAAGCGTGATTTTGGATTTTGAAAGGTCACACAGCTGTAAAACAAATCATCAAGAAATGCGTGATTTCATTGAAAATCAATGGAACTCTGTAGAAGTCTCATTCGCCTCCCAATCTTCCAAGTGAATGAGTGTCTGATGATCCCCCTTCACGCATGTGGGAATAGACATTGTCGGACCATTGAATGTTGGCAGCAGAAATTCGGACGAGGACAAGTCCAGCTAAGTCTCTATGTGTTTATTTACTTGTGCTTGGACCAGGGCTGTTCACTTAGAATTATGCAGAGGCCTCAACACTCAAGATTTTCTGCTGGCATTCAGAAGATTTGCTGGTCTATGAGGACTCCCACCACAATTACATCAGATAACACAAGAACCTTCAAATCTTCAAGCAAGGAGATAAGAAGGATCACGAGATCGAACTAAGTCTAGTATTACCTTGTTAACCAAAGAATTTCATGGAACTTTATCATCAAAAGGGCTCCATGGTGGGGAGGTTTTTGAGAGCGGCTAATCAAAAGTATCAAGACACCTCTAAAGAAGGTACTCGGTCGATCAACCTTGCATTTCAAAGAGTCACGGACAGTGCTGGTAGAAGTTGAGTCAGTAATCAATGTGAGGCCGATCACGTATATGTACAATGGCGCGAATTCGATTTCTTATCCCTTGACATCTACCGGTCTTATCTTTGAGCAACATGTTACATCAACACCAAACAGTACACATCTCGAAATCATCAGTACATATCAATCATTGACAAGAAGAGCTCGCCATCGGAAGAATCTACTTCAACAAGTAACAAAGCAGTGGCGAAAGGAATATCTTACTAGTCTACACGAGCAGTCAAACGTGGTAAACAAAAGAAATGGTACTCAAGAAATCTTGGTAGGGGATATTATGTTACTCAAAAACGATTCCACCACCAGAACTTACTGGAAATATGCTAGAGTTGAGGAACTTATTCCTGGAGTTGATGGAAAGGTTCAAGCCCCAATTGTCAAGGTTGGAAACAACAACAAGCGACTGACATATTTACGGAGGGTCGTTCAGCATTTAATTCCAATTGAAGTCAAGACGAGTGTAGTCAGTAAGGACAGACAACTTGTCACAAATCACGTTTCTAATCTAGTCGTGCGGCCACGATGCACTGCAGCAGTGGTCGGGGAAATCAGTTGTAGAGAACTGAACATAGTTGGATTCATTATGAATATTTGACAGCTGAGACATTGAAAGTTTCTCACGTTGTGAATAAACTTTCTGGAGTGTAAAAAACGTTTACGTGTGCTCAAGGATGCGATTACTATGACACATTGAAACCTGATGCTATTCAGTTTTGTTTGTACGGTGACATTTTGATTGATTGATTTTCTTATATCGCGTGTACATTTAAGATTAGTGATCCACATTTTCCTTCAATCAATAAAATAAACGAGTTACGAATAATACGTCTGTGTGAGTTTATTAAAAGGTATTTCCATGTATTATTAGTTTATATTATTCGTCTGTTTGTTGTAAATTCTTTTTTATGTAATTGTCATTCTGTTGTTTGTCTATAACAGATAGTTTTAACAGTTGGTCCAGTATTTCATACACCTCATTTCTCAGTTGTATATTTTTATTTCCCACACTTCTCTTACCAGTTAAAAGAGTCAATCTTTTCACTGGATCATCTGGTGTTGTATAATACATCATTCCACCTGTTAGTTTTGATTTACCAAATGATCTTTGTTTTGGTATATTGGATAATAAATTTAGATTGTTACACACCTGTATGGCTTTGCTTGTTGTAACACTTTGTCAACAGTTCAATTAAACTTTGGTCTACCTTACCCTCATATACTATCCTCCCCTATGAACCTCAAGTATCATCTCATTCATTAATCTGGGTACATTAATCACCAAACCACCATACTGCCCCTGATTATCTGCCTTATATGCATTTCTCTTCTCCTGGCTGTATCTTCTGCTTCTCCTGTTAATATCCTCACGCACTGACCATTTACCAATTAATTATGATCTATGAACAATATCCTTGATCAATTTTCTGTATCTACCTATGCTTAAAATTTTTTGTCCAATTCAACGATCTCCTGTTTGACTTTAGCTTTTTATCACCCTTTTTACCGGTGAATGATTTTCACTTTTTAATACATCATCATCTGCTTTGTTTAATAATTCTACGAAATTTTGGATGTTCAAAAGATAGGGTAATTTTTCTACTTGCCAAAATTCTCTGTCATATTTTGTCACCACCATTCCTTTCTTTTCCTTTGGTGGTGCTGCTGTTGCTCCCTCCTCTGGTCTTGGTAATTGTGGTACATATAATTGTTCTTCTACTTCTACTTGAAGATCATATGGTAATGCCAATCTTTCAGTTATTTGCTGTTGGTTGTCCTGTAATTGTCTTATCAACTGGTCCTGTTTATCATCAATAGTTTGTTTGATTTCCTTTTGGGCCTCACTTATGGGGTTTTATTCTTCTTCTCTCCTTGTTTGGATTCCTTGTACCTCATTTGCATATTGTTCTATCACTATAGACACACTTCTACGAATACTGGCAGAATTTTTTCGTTTGTTAGTATTTGCTTTCAGTTTAGTAATCACCATTATATTATTATGTTATATGATATGTGTTTTTGAAGACATTATATTTGTTACGTGCTTTAAGGCGAGTATTATATGATTGTTTGTCCAACATAATTATATATGAAGATTCCAAATTAAGACAACAACCATAACAAACAGAGTAAGAGAGTGTTCAATGATATCTTGAACGAGGACTACAGAATGCTAATCTGTGGGTAATCTGGATGTAGGAAGACAAATACTGTGATGCATATTTTACACACACCAATAGTGCAGTATGATAAGATATATTAGTATACACCTAATGAACATCGACAAGATGCAGGATTTTAAAAATCATAATGCACAAAAAGTGGATTATGATGTATTAGAGATATCTGATGAAGACAGCATTAAAGAATCAAGTGAAAACCCCAAGGATAACAGAAAAATGGTTATACTGGATGATCTGGTTGATGCATGTGATAAAGTACAGCATAAGATACCAAACCATTTTACAGATGGTAGACATTACAGCATATCATCTGTATACCTTAGTCAGAGCTCTTATGATGTGCCACAGAAACTAAAAAACTCCTTAATTTTTCACTTATGACACTGAACCCGCCTGTTACAAAAAACATAGCAATCTGATAGCGAAAGGGAATACCATTGATAGTAAGATGTTTGATAAATTACAAACATTTGAGTTCCTATTTTTGAACAAAGAGAAGAAATCTGTTAAAAAGAATCTTGATGGCACAATGTAACTATCTATTATAATTATATGTGAATCTATATTGTGTGAAGCAAAATAAGATAACGATTGCCTTGAACCATCAGGTTACAAGAGAGCAAAGAATGGCAGATTAATGCATTTCTGTACATGTGCAAAGTGTGGTATTAAAAAAACTAAATTTGTCAAATGGTAGTATTTTTGATGCCGTTGGTAATTTTGCATTAGAGAGTTTTATATCTAAGGATGTTCCCTATTTAGCAAAGAAGACAGCTGACGCTGGCAGATATTATGCATCAGAGGCTATGAGAGACAAGAAACTGCAGAAGAAGGATGTTGACAATGCTCTTGATAAATTAAACCTATATGTGCACAGTCTGACTTGGCAGGCTTTGGATCAGTTTTCAACTGAGGTAAGACCCACCAAGAAAGTATAAGACTGACAGGAAGGTTTTAGATGCTACTGGTAAAACTACAAAGTACTACTACTACTACAGTTTAAACAAAAACAGTTGCAACAATGGAGATATGTTCCTTTTCATCTCCTTTGCAAACCTGCTCAGAGCAGTTATTATTTCTTGGCAACTGCAATCGAGATATCACGATCTCAGGACCTATGGACTAAGCAAATCTCAAGGGGACATCGATGACGAAGTGGACTTAATACTCTGTAGAGCAGGTGGGTCAAATCAATACTTACTCCTTTTGAAAGGAAAAATAAAAAGTATGAAGCAAAAACTAAGCTGTTGTTGTTTCCCAAGTTGGTCTTGGGAAAATCTTCCTTTGGGAGGAATTTCACGAAGGTAAGTACATTCACATCAAAAGCAGGATTTTTTATTTCTTCTTCTTTTATATCACTTATCCTTTTGAAAGTACCATAGGTGTAGAAGACTAATAACGCTTGTTTCACCTTACCGTTTCTACAGGTCTAGTTTATTACTGACTCTCTCATTATTGAATGAGTATTGTCCCTTGTTGCTTAGAGATCACATGCAGAAATGAGTGGCTGCAAATGAAAGACTCTTTCATTTGCACTTGAAGTTCTACCGTGTTGTATGAAAAAAAGACTTTTGACATACCCTATACCTTGTGAGAAAGTACTACAGGTCTATTAAGGCAGGATTCTAGAATACTTTAGCTTTTGATGAGTTAAGCATGTACTTTCAAGTTTAGCCGCTCTCTGTAAAATGATTCGCTACTAAAAATGAAAAAGCTATCAACTGATAGACATCTGTTTTGTGCGTCGATCTGCAGTGCCAGAGGAAATAGGTTTCCCATAGCTAGAGGACACGTCCTTTGGATTTGGCGACCTTGTGCCTGTCTTTAAAAATGCAGCTCACATGAGGCAGACAAACAATGACACTGGTGAGGCAAATGAAGTTACCAAGGTAGGAAATGGAGCGTCAGATTTGAGTGATCCAACAAGCTCTGATTTGCTTCCCCACTCGAAGTTGTACTGAAGCTTCTATGCTGAAAATATTTTCTTGTCCCGAAGAAGGGTGTATAAAATGTTTTGTGTGTTACTCTTCACTAGAGAAACATTGTATTTTTGGCACTCGTATAAGATTATTTGAAAAATTACCTTGCAGGACAGGGCAAAATTGTTTTATGTACAGTGTCTAGAAGAGGGTCAAATCAAACACCTTTCCTGTACCCTTTCAGGTACAGGGTAGCCCATCGTCACCTTTGCTAGACATGGGCTGGGCGTTAAAATCAAAGGCAAAGGTAGTAAGTTTCAATGAAAAGCAAAAATCGTATCTTGAAAGCAAGTTTTTACACATAGAGATGTTAGGGAAAAAGAAAAGTGGAGAGGCTGTAGCTAAAGATATGAAAAAAGCCAGAGATGCAAAAAGTGAGCGGTTGTTTTCATTAGAAGAATTCTTGACCCCGCAACAAATTAACTCATACTTTTCTCGCTTTGCGGCCAAACGAAGGCAGCTCAGTGAATCGGAAATTGATGCAGTTCAATTAGAGAAAGCTGTAAAGGAAGTTACTGAAGATGTCATAATTGACCTACAACAAGAAGCAAATAAGTACGATCATCCAATTATGTTCAACAAGTTCCAACTATGTGAGATGTCAAAGGATGAACTGTCCACGTTACACTTGACAATGCTCAAGGCAATCTCTGAAGAATTCAACTTGCAAGTCTCAGGACGGCGAAAGGCACCTTATTTTGACTGTGTTGTTTCTTTTGTTGACAGCTGTACCTGCAAGGCTTCATAAGAGCTGCAACTCAAAGGAAAAGGATCACTACCATCTTGTACATGGACCACGTGGAGCATATGTTATGTCGATTCTAATTTAGGCCTGTTACTAAAGATAGTCTTATCAAATACATTAGACACAAAAGACTGCCATCCCTTTCATCTGACAAAGCATCCTTCGACCAAGCCATACCGCCGTACCAAAAAGCACTCCACAAATGCGGATAGCAGTACACTCTACACTACGAACCACTCACGACTAAAAACCGAAAAAACAGAGAGCGGAACAATATCCTCTGGTACAACTCCCCATTCAGAAAAAAACGTCAGCACCAATATCGGACACAGATTCCTTACCCTTGTAGACAAGCACTTCCTGAAAGACCACAAACTTAGACAAATCTTTAATCCTAACACAATGAAGATCAGTTACAGCTGAATGAATAACACTAAAAAGATCATTGACAACCACAACAAATGAATACTAAATTCATCCAAACCCATCAATGACACTGCAGATAACACCAACACAAAAGACACCAAAACTTGCAACTGCCAACAGAAGAACACACGCCCACTTAACGGAAACTGCCTCCAATCATCTCTAATCTACCAAGCTTCCGTCACACACAAGGACAACACCACCACTGAAACATACATCGGACATACAGAAAGCGACTTCAAGACTAGATAAGAAACCACAATGCATCATTCCAACACACAAAACTCAGAAACTCCACCGAACTCAGCAAGCATATCTGGACCCTTAAAGAAACTAACCTTAACCACTATACTTCGTGGCACATCCTTTCATCAAGATCGCCTTACAACGGCGCAAACAAAAGATGCAACCTCTGCCTCAAAGAAAAATTACTCATCATTCGCCAACCTGAATAATCATCACTTAATAAATGTAATGAGCTCGTGTCCTCATGCCGGAGATCGCGACTAAAACACAGCATGAGTACTAACACCCAACGTGTGAAAGTCAGCCAAACCTCTGTGAATGTCCTCACAACAGTTTGCTAGATCCTGTTGGCCTGTTTTTTTTCCTATTATTGCTAACTGTGAGAATTTTGTTCAAGATCACCACAATTTCTCTTTCATAACATTTCGTGATTACCTTTGCTTGTGATATTTCTTGACAGTATGCGAAGAAATTGGATTCTAATCATTCTTGGAGCTGAAAAGGTTAAGAATAGCAGAGAGGGGGTTTAATTCAGAGGGAATAAAAAACATGTGCACGTTGAATTTAAGGTCACCACTTTCACTCACGTGCAAGTTTGTTGAAGGGAAAGTCATAGGAAAGGAAGGGAACAATTTGGTTCCATATGGAGCAAAAATATAGATGTTGCTAATGCTGACTTTTTTGTTTCAACACTTTAAGTAACAGTTTTTCCATACCAGCATACGGACCATTATTTTTCTGGAAGGGAGGTATGGGAAATATTGAAAAAAATTGTTTGCAGGGTCTGAAAAGATAAAATAAATTGTTTGCAAATGTGATGGGGTTAAAATAAATGTTTGCAGAGAAGTCAGGTAAGTTATTAAAAAATCTCATGACTAAAACTGAAATAAAAAATAACGTAACAAATTAAAGCTTTATTATAAAAAATTAACACAATTTGGGCACTAAAAAGAGGTCACTCTGTATTAAGCAAATAACAAATCTGAAAATGGCTTTATATTTCTTGAAGAAATAAGATTCTATTGTGGCAATTAAAAAATGGGAAAAAAATTTTTTGCATGAAGACGATGTTGGAAAAAAAAATGTTTGGGAGACATGTGTTTAAAAAAAATGATTGCAGAAGAACATTTCTCATACACCCAGAAAAATAATGGTCTGTCCCTTATAATTAATCATACTTATTAGCTGGATTCTATTTTGTATCGAGGCATGTTTAAACCGATGTTCTGTAGCCTTAAAGAGACTAGAGGATACAACACCAGATTATAAAACTTCTATATTCAAGGCAAATTCTGAGTTTCATAATCAATCTACTCGTTTTGCAAATTTAAATTCTATTGTCCTGTTTTTAAGAAAAATACAGAAGGAGGCTGGAATTTTAGCGTATAAACTATTAGGAATTGGAATGAAGTGTCTTTTGACGTAAAGAAAGTGAAAAGTGGTGAAATGAAATTGTATAATTGCTAAGCAAAGAAAGATAGGAAATTTAGATTATCTTTTAAATAGTTAAGTAGTCTTTTACATCAAGTCAGCAAAATAACTTGTTTTAGATAGTAATTAGTTTTTAAATAGTTAAGATTTCTAATTGGCTAAATTAGATTCTACATAGTTTTAAACACCATTTTTGCTTGCTTCATAAATTTTCTCTATTAATAACTTTTATCTTTCTATAATGACAATGAAGAATTATTTAACATTAATTTTGATTTTATGTTTTATAGAGGGCAACAAGTTTATCAGTTTTATTATAACTGTCACGTGTTTACCCTTTTTAGATAAAGGCGTTACCTTACCTTACCCCACCTTTAAGTTACTTAATTTGTTCTGGGTGTAGTTTTCTGGACAACATAGCCCTTAACAAGGCTATCGGGCTTACCATCGTTTAAAATTTCTACTTAGGGTGTATTTCTGTGTTCATTGAAAACAAAACACGCACCTTGGATTTTTGTTTGAACTGGCTTTCATCACTCTTAACAATGAAAATGCGTCTGCCAAACGGGGTAACTGGTTAATCTTTGAAATCTCTGCCACAATAATGCCTCATGACGGCATACACATTTCCAACAGTGATGGCTCCATTGGTATGCACCTCTAGTGTTTGTTTTAACTTGTGAACTGGACCAGTCCACACAATTAATGCTGAAGACCATTAAGCTGGAAATTTCAAACATTTTCCAAATTCAATGGTATGCGGCTCTGCCCACACAGTAGCGTTAAGTCCACCTATCCCCACTTCTGAGACATTGTAAAATGGAGAAATATGAAGTCATAAAGCAAGTATACAACATGGTCATGATTGCATTCATTCAGTTCCATGGGCTGGTTGCACGGTAAGCATCTGAGCAGGTTTGCAATCAGATATTCAAGTTGTAGCCAGATCAGTTCGATAGTCAGACCGTTGGCAAGATTACTAACTTGAAGGAGATCCATGTCTTGTTGTTAACTTTTTTTGCAGTAACTTGAAATTTCGCTTTTGATAAAATGATTTGGGAATTTTTTTCTCCACCGCAAAAGGAATTAGTCATAAAAGTGAGGCCTTCATAAACAGTTCACCCATGGTGTGGTGGTCAATTGCGCACATATTTCCGTTGTGATACATATTCCCTCAGTTTTTTGCAAACTTTTGAACTTTTGAAGGCACAAAAAACTTTAAGAAGAAGAAAGAAAAGAAATGAAAAATAAGAGAAAAAATCACAGTGTTATGTAACTGTAAATGGCTGCATCAACTCTACAGTGTGCGGCACTTAATAAAATTACAAGTAAGATTTTTTTTCCTTTTCAATTTATTGTTTCTGTCGTAAACATCCATAGCCTCATTTTGCATAAATTTTGACCACAATTCCCACATTATTTAAGCAAATTTTTCTGAACTTGAAAATTGGAGAAGCCAAAGAGGTTATCAATGGAAAAAACAAACTAAGAACAGGAAGTTTACAAAACTCGATTACCAAGTGCACAACTAGGTTTCCATTACTTAAGGTGCTGCATCGGTGGGAAAGTTCAACAGGGTAATTAAATGTTATCAAATGAGTCAATAGCGATTGACAATTGATCGCTCTGATGAAAGGCTAACGCTTAAAACATCAGCTCTTAAACTCTCTCCGGTGGCCAATTCACGCTATCAACTCAGTTGATCATACTAAATTATCTAAGTATCTATTAGCTCTTCTTGATTAACGGGCAGGTAGAAAGTGGAAAACATGAACCACCTATGCGAGCAAGCAAATGTCTCTTGATACCAATATGCACATATTTCAGTCAATAAAAAACAAAACCTCAACTGCAGATCCAGACTACAGACAGAAGTTCTACTGGACAATCTACAACTTCAATCCTATATATGACCCTCTATCTTATTTGACATAGGTCTGTTCCACCCACCGTTGCTTACCTTGCAATTTTCAATTTAAATGCACATGGCCTGTAAACAACAAAAAATGCACTTTCATCAAGATAATAGAGGTTGAGCTACGTATTTAGAAAGCATGCAAAGCTCCACGCCAATGATTCTTTTTTCTTCCTAATATATGGCCATCCAAAACAATCGGCACAGAAGATGAGAAATTTACCTAGGAAGCTTTCGCAGTTACCTCACCCTTTTGAGGCATATATGTCACTCTCCTTTTATGGTGGAGGTGTCAAAAGATACAGTCGAACTGAAAAGCATATCATTTATCTATATCTTCAATCTTATGAGACCAGTCACTGGAGTATAACCATGGCCAATGGTAATGCCAGACGTGCACAAACTATGAAATGCACTTTCATCTTCTTACGCTGGGCCGATCAGTTCTGTGTTCCCACTGGAGTCGGGTGGCCGAGTGAAAGAAATAATGTTTAGTAACAATTCGACCAGTGCACTTATTGCTGACATGCTCAAACATAATTTCCATCAGCTAAACACAGATGAAGAGATTTCAAGGTATGACGATTATACTAATTCTATGACAACCGTCATTTATTGTTGCTTTTAGTGAATACCAGCCAAACAGATTAGAAAGGACATCACCCGAGAATTTAAGAAACAAGGACTGAACATTTCTATAAGCACAAACCTAGAA